TTTGTCGCGACTTGACAAATTTTGGCCGAAGCCGACAAATCTTCAGACGCACCGCCGACAAAATTTGTCCATGCTAAAAATTGGGAAAAATCGACTACATAACAAAACCGTGATAAACTTGTCAATCATTTGTATGAGCTACGACAAGCGTGTCGTCGAACCGAAACCAGTTTACTAGAAAGGCAAAAATTGTGTTTTGCTGCGAAACTCGGGGATTCTAAAATTTTAAATCGACTCAAGCCAAATCCTGGAAATTGGAGGCGGAATCCTTTGGCAAGTATGCTGGCCGGTCTTATAGATAGATCAGGCGCTGACGGAATTTGACGGCTTTGAAATCGTTAATGCGGATGCAACAGACGAAACAAAGATGTGTCATGACAAAATTTGTCCTTTGATTTTTTCAGGGCAGTTCTAGTTTTGTCCGCTAGTGGGGAAAGGCCTCTAGTCAAGGATCGTTATCTTACTTTCGTTCAAAGAACACACCCATCTTTCTGGTATCTCCTGAGGATCTATGTTAGTTTGAAGAAACCTCCATTTACCGCAACTAGGGATGCTACACTGTGCCCATGTACCCTGTTTTCCAGTCTCTTGATACATACGTTGCAGCTCAAAATTCTATGAAAAAAAGTAACTAGAGGCGATTAAAAAGCTATTGACTCCAATATGTGCACAAAGAAACCTAAAAAGTGTTGACTTACCATTCCTGATGTATCTGGAACATCATTACCATCCTGTTTTTTTCTAACCTTTCTAGGTTTTGCCAATTTCCTCTTTTGTCTGACGACATTTGTAATGCTTTGGCTGCCTGAATTTGATGCTTGGGAATTATCCTAAAGTTGTTGTAACACAGTAAAAAATGTCAGAAATGACTAAGAGAGTGTCTCTTTCGTCCAAATTTCATGACCTAAATAATTGCAGCTTATCAATGAATAGATTGTCAGAAAAATAGACAGTTGTTTTAATAAGGGTCTGGTACAAACAAGTTTAGTTCAGCTGGGTAGTTTTGAAGGCCTGAAATTCTTGTTCAGGAGATTTAAAAAATAGAAATTTTGAAGTTCTTGACTCTTACAGTTGCATTTCCATTAAACTTTGGGCTCTATTCAAATTTATGATGCTTTCTTGTTCTTCAAATGTAACCAGTTAGAACAAATTTGAAGAGAATTACATGTATGTGAAGTGTACAATGAAATCTGTTTTAAGATTACAAGTGGGTGGCCAGTGTATTCCAAGCAGTTTAGATCTATGCACCATCTGGCTGCTTTTGAAACCCTTGTACAGAAAATGAGAGGTACATGCCTATATCACCCACTATGAGTCAAAAGCAATAACAGTAAGCAATAAAGATCATGTCATGGCCATTAAGTAACCTCCTATTTGATAAGGATAACTATGTAGTTTGTATGTGATTTGGCATTACCCTGCTTGGAGGACTAGCTACAATATAAAAAATCCCTATAGACAATATGCAATGTTCTTATTCTTTGAAATAAAGTTACTTTGATGTAGTAAAATAAAAGGCTCTGTATTTTTTTTGACTGCCCAAAATCTGGATGCAAACATGGCATGCTTTCAAAGTGCCAACATGCGAAACAAACATAGCAGCTTGATATGATTGCACGATTGTTATCTAGAAAGGTGTCTTCAAACAATGCAGTTTTTATACAATGGACTGTAAGGTTTCCAGTAACTATACCCATAATATCCATAGGCCTAATCTGTGCCTGAAAAAGTGAGAAGTGAGATTTATTAAGTTTTCTTTGGTAAAACTTTTTGAAAATTGACTGACTCCTTGCCACATACAATTCCTATCAAACAGCCTATTTCTGTTTCAGTATGTCAGAGCTAATGGAATACAGTAAGAAAAATGAAAAATTAGAGAATATTGGCAGATCCACCTAAGCAACCTCAAGTTTTTACCATTTCAAAAGGTCAAGCAATATCATTCCCCTAACGTGTACTAATGTGGCTAGAATGAGGACATTTTTCTGAGGGAAAGTAAAGATATTACGGTATCAAGGCCAAAAACTGGAATACATCTGTCTGTTACGAGAGATGACGTTGCCATGATAATGTCATTAGTCTAAAATTGAATACCAAAACAGAACCATTATTACATTGTCAACCCAACTGGTAAATCTCCTGAGGGAAAACTTTGAGATAAATAAACTAAGTTTTTTTTCATAACTTACACTTTGAAGGAACATTTTATTAGTAAATACTCTAGGGGACCTCATCTCTTTAAATTTTATTGCAGGATATGAGATCTAATGGCTGAAGTGAGGATTTGAATATACCTGTTGACTTGTGCTCTCTTGAGAAAGATTGTCATCACAAGTAGTTGGAACACACTGCACATTCTCTACATGGTTATAGTGATCCAGAGAAACTAAACACAGACAAAAAATAAAATGTTTAATAGAAATTAGCATTAACTGGATGAGAGTATACTTTAATTGGAGGATTTCATTCAAGTGCATTTTCAGTAACTCATATTATTTAGGTAAATTGCAAACAGCTCCTGCTTGGTCTACTTCTAAAGAAAATAGAAAAAGCAGTGGCTTATTTTCCAATTACCCATGATGTATATTAAGGGTAATAGGATAAGAAGAGATGTTAAAGTTAGCATGACCTGAGGAAATAAAAATGGAATTTCTGGCAACAGGTATCAGGAAATGGTTGTCACTCTAACTTATACATAGTAGTAGCTAGAGAGTCCTCAACAAAGGAATGAGATGGAAAAATAAAATAGTGTAAACCTTCCCTCCTGACAAGCTGTTCTGTGTCACCTTCTTGCATTTCTAATGAGTCTGACAGTTCAGGATAAAGGTCTGGGACAGAATCGTAGTATTCAATCTCCCAAGCTGGTTCTGGTGCAGTGATAACTGAGGATTTGGGGCTGGTTTGCTCTGAGGAATTTTTTTGCTGTGCAAAGTATGTCAAAAAAAGGTACAAGTCAACACAGATGCTAATTCCCTTCTTTTTCTCTTAGGCAAAGTTTATGAATTGATTTAAAACTCAAGCTTTCTCTATTTTATCACTAGGATGATATTCTGGTAGAATTAAGTAATGTTGATGAAATTATAGACACAAAGATTAAAACATGCTAATTTACTGGAATCATCCTAATTAATCCCAAGCAGTGGTACTTTGCAGGAAACATCCTAATTAATCCCAATCAGTGAAGAAGACAAAAGTTTAATGCCTAAAATTGAAAAAGACCCCTAAAATTGGAAATGAAGAGTATACATTACCGGAACTCATATGATTTTGAAGGAAATTTGTAAGATGAAACTTGCCCTTAGACTTCTTTAGGTCTTAGAATAATTTACACTTTCCTCTTCATTTCAAACTGCACCAGAAATCATTCAACAACCAAAAAATTTTTCTTCATGCGTACATTCAGAACTACCTATTGAGGAGAGATACGCCTTCTTGAACTGAAAAGTCACCATCTAGGCGCTGCCAAAACTCCCTTGTGTGAACCTACCTTACACAATTTTCTATTCTTCGGGCAAGTATTGGATTTCAAGGTCTCCACTTTCGGTTCAGGTTTAATCTTTTTTTGTTTTCCTAAGGAAAAATATCATTCTTCAGTGATTTAGTTCACAGTAGATGAACAAACTTATGCACGCTCTCAGCTTGTCATTCTTTGTGCAATTTCGAGCTTCGATGAAAACTATATAACTTTTTGTCTGATTTAACATCTACCGTATTTATAGCAATAGTATCAACGAACTCCAAGGTAAACCTATTCGAAAGGGTTGCTGTATATTACTAACAGATATCATAGAGAATGACAAGGAAAAGTGAACAACAGCAAACTTCATGTAAATATTGCGGTTTTCTGTTGGGGGAGTGTATGTTACCCAAACTGAAATCAGTGCTCCCACCCTAGGTGTTATGAAAGCAGTTTATTGCAAGCCTCTTACCTTTAGGACGCTTTTTAGAAGTGTCCGTCTCGCCAAGTGACTGAGAGAGGGTGGCCATTTCTTTTTTCACATCACAGTTTCCCGCCGAATCTGTTTGGCAGCCGCGCCAGTGTAAGGTCACGTGGATTTAAAGGGCCATAAGTTGATAGTGAAGCTAGCAGATTGAGGCTGCTGTGGATTGACAACTTTACTCAGTTGTTAACTGTGCTTGAAGGTCGTCATAGATGAATATTTCGTCACAGTCCAGGAATAGCACGCGCAGTTTATCAAAATTTTTAATCCGCGCGCTAGATGGTTAAACGTTTTAGCTCCGCATGGGTTTATTGGTGACAGAACTCCCATCTACCGGCGCCGTAAAGAAAGATAGGTTGTCGACCACGTTCGCAAACAAGGGCGTGGTAAATAGGGGTTGTTTTAAAATTAATTTGATCGCTTTTAAGAGTTATGGCCCGTGGTGGTAGAAATGGAACAATATTTTAAAAAGAAATCGTATTTCATCGAATTTCTTTAGAGATCCTGTGGCGACCTGAAATAGAGGTAGGCGCTTACTGCAAAGAATGCTGAAAATGGTCTAGTAATAAATATAAGATACCATTGTGAGAGAAAGAGATTGGATTTCTCAAAACCAAACTGTCAACGTAACGCAAACATGCTAACGAGTCGAGCTGATTTTTCTCGAAACGTCTAGCTAAAGGTTAGAGGGAGAGGAGTATCTGCTTCCAGTATAATAAATGAGAAGCATAAGACTTTTGAGAAAGTATAGGAACAAAATCACTTATGGTGGCAGAGGAACTCTTTCCTTACCCTTTATACTCAAACATCAGTATGCATATTCTCCATACTGTTCGCCTTACATTTTCCATAATGCTGTCAAGGAGAATTTGTATAACAATCAAGAGCTTCTTTGGTTGACAATCGATTCCTTTACTCTCGTGACCTTTAATGGTTTGATTCAGGTTGATATTGTAAAGAGAAACCCGTCTTAAAGGACAAAACAGACAGTTCATTCTTTAAAACAAGCAACCAGAAAGATATTGTAAATATTTCAGCTCAGGATAACACAAGGCTTCGCTTTAATGTTGATTTTATTAACTTCAATTCTACAGCAATCAGCTGAGGCCTGAGCAAACAAGGAAGACATGTTTCAGGGGTGTAGGGTGCTCGATCTCCTTGCAGCTGGTGATAAGACTTCCGGACTGGAACTGTCATTTGTGTGAAACAATTCTTTTGCAGTAAAATATGTTTGCATTGCAATTTATTTGCAATTTGCAATGCAATTGTATGTTTTGAATGGGG